TGAGTGGTGTATGATGAGTGGTGTATGATGAGTGGTGTATGATGAGTAGTGTTTGATGAGTGGTGTATGATGAGTGGTGGTTGAACAGCTGTTGAATGTCCGTAACACGGAAGTTTTGCACACTAAACTTCCTTTGACTAGTAGTAACAAGAAGCTTGTAATTAGTGCTCCAAACAAATATATAGTTCAAGAATTCGCACGTTAAAGAATTCGCCTGTGGTGACTGAGTTCCAAAGGCCCAAAACCACGAGCCGAGCGAGGGTTCATCGAACGTGTGGGAACGCACGTGAAAACGAGATGCGTTGAGCATAAGATGGGAGCCCAGCTCTTGAAACATCCAAGCGCCTGAGGGCCTAGCGAATGAAGAAGATGGAAGAACCAAGGAGAACCCTCACATAGAAACCACAGAAACCGCGCCCACCTTCACAGGTTCCTGCGGTTTGCTCCGCAAAGTGTAGAAGGAAATTTTGCCATCCCTGAGCTCGCTGGTCAGCGACAATGAGGAAACTTCAAACGGAAACAAAAGGCACAAGAAAGAACCCCACAACTGCGAAGCGACTTTTGAGCATATGCTTCGCTATACTCATAATACGTCCCTCGATGTCCGCCCTGCTGATCAGGTTATTATGTGGTATTTCCAAAACAAATGTCAGTTTTCTTAGCAAAAACTGACAGACTGGGTTGCCAACACCCCTTCAGTTGGAGCCAGCACCTCAATGGATCACCCGACGCGCTGTTCGTGGAATGTGTCAAGAAAGCATTGGGGCATCTTGGGCCAATGGGGTTGCTGCAAAATCCGCCGGTGCTCAAGATGCTGAAGGTCCACAAGCGAGACGCGATGCAAACATGGAGACGTGCCTTTGGCGCTGGAGATTCTGCAGGTGGCTTGGCTCCTGGAGGCTTGGCCCCGCTCGGTTGAGTCTCGCCCATGTAGATGAAAGGCTTGGAACATGGGTATCAACCTTTATCGTTTCTTCACTCATGCGCATGGAACATGACATGGGACTCTTCAAGGCAGCGGAGCGCTTGTCTGGCCTTCTTGCCGTGAGCGGGACGGTTTGGGAGGCGCAGGTGGCCTGGAGGTGATGTGAGGCGCGTCTGCGGCGCAAGTGCTTCAAACCTATTTGCATATTTATAGTCTATAAAATATACAACCAGTTCTTTTTTTTGCCGGCTCGCTCTCCCCCACTCCCTACTTAACTAAGTAGAGACTACCTACTTAATGAAGGGAGAGGTAGCTAGTAGGTACAGGACGCTCCTAGGCAGGACGCAGGATAGCTCACGCTTCTTCAAGGAAGCTCCCCCCGCCCTTAAAGTTAAGCTGGCAGGGGAGCTTCCTTGAAGAAGCGCTCGCACTATTCATTGGTTCCTGGATTGAAACTTAACTATAGCGATGGCCTCCAACCTACCAGTAAACTATATTAAATTGTGGCGCAAGTGGTCAACATTTATGATGTGTGGCGATTGCATCGTCAAATTTATGGGTCCCTTCTGTTTTGGAACCGTGTTACCAGGGAATCGTTTTTGGTGAGTTCCCTATCATTTGCCCATTCCAGCATATGAATGAAACGCGTTTATGATGCTTATGCAATTGGAATCATCGCACATTTTGAAGGCGATAAAGCAAAGAAAGACTTCCGAAAACTACCAGTACAACGGGACATGTACTATGAACTATGAACAAAGCAGGATGACATGTGAAGGAGCCGTCCTGAGGAGCTTAATCGCTCATCAAACATGTGCAAGCACCTGTGTAGCTGATGGTTCTCACTTTCTCCCCTTCAGTGCTCTTGTTGACTGCCTTGTCAACACCGTCCTTGATCCCGGCTCCTGCCACAGCATGAACAAATCAGAGGGTGAAAGCCAGCGACTGATGTGGAGTCTTGAACCAATGAAACTCCTCGCAGAAGTCGCGATCAAGAGATGATTCCCGCTTGATTGGCTTGCAGATCTGCCTGCCTTTTGGAGCTGGACAAAACACCAAGACCAAACACCACGAACTGAGAAGCTTGTTCCTTTTGGGATGTTGGAGTCCAGTGAGTGATGTTCAATTCGGTCCAACTCGGGCCAAGGATGAAATGACATGAACGACTTTCAAATCTGCAGATGACTTGCTTTTGGTCAAATACACACACGACGAAATGCTTGATGAAACCACATGGCCTCTGGTTGAAAAAACCTCCCGGAGAACCAAAGCGCGGCTCCTGTGAGCTGGGCACCAAGACAGGGCGAAGCCCTGGCGGCGGGTCCCAGCTCTTCGGAGGATCAGTGAGGATCCGCACCCCTGCAGCTTCGACGTCAGTCATTAATTTGCGAATACTACTTTTCCGCCGTCTGAGCTCCGAATCAACCTTCCAGAGTCGAGAAGTGAATCCGAATCGAAAGGACGATGCTTGACAGTTCGGAATGCCTCGTCCTACGGTAGAGTGCTGATATAATCTGATATATGTGCTGATATATGTGCTGATCATTTCCTACTCCCCTTCTCACTGCACACCCTCCTTCGGACATGCCAGGCACACGAGGCCCGTCACTGTTTTGGGCGGAGGAAGTAGTACGCGTGGGGCGCACCGGAGGATCTAGCGCGATCTTCCCCGACTCGCTCTGCCACAACTTGATGACAAATGCCAATGCAGGTTGGAGGCCATCGCTACTAGGGTGGAGGCCATCGCTGAACAATACATTTCTTGCATGTACAAGAATTCAAGAGCTGTGAACTGCAATGCAATCGGGAATTGGAGAGAGATTCACATGGCTAAACTACAAAGGGGGTCAGGGCGAAGAGGGGGAGGTATGTGAGCACACTGGAAGACAAATCAATCATTGTATCCATAGGCTGCAAACTGTTGCACAAACAAACAACTATGCTGAAGTACTTTCTGTGAAGATCATAATATGTAACAAATGCTTCGAATGTTGATTATCTTGTTCATGCTATGGACCAGGTCTATTGCTAATCAACACCCAAGGGAGTGTTTAAAGACCCGAAGATCAACCAAATGTTAGCCCAACATTCCCAAAAGATTGATCTCCAAAAATCACATCCAGCCCCAGAAAAGGAATGCGCATCCCAACCGGTGGAGTATCCTCCCGCTCCAACCCGTTCGGCCTGGATGCCGTTCGGCACCTGCCGTCGTCCGGACCCGGTTTCCGGGAGAGGCTGATCTCTCCGGCTGGACCGGCTCTAAACTTCCCAAAGCAACAAGGGTGCATAAGAAGCAAACAAGTGGTTCCAAAGCACAACTACAACTCATGCATCGGCAAGAAAAACTGCCGAACTGCGCCTTGACAGGCACCTGGCAAACTCTCGCCACGCATTCCCTAGATATTGAAAAGGCTCAAAAAAGAACATAAGAAAACTGGCTGAATGAAGGTATGTTTTTAGCTGTGCTTCGTATATCTTCATATCACACATGTTCAACACATGTTCGACCTCCTTTCACATAGCCATTCTTTTCTTGCGACCCAAACACCATCGACCTCCTGGCGTCGGCAGCCGGTGCCCCTGCACTCGGATGAGGCGCCTCGGGTGAAAATTCACTCACGAGGAAGGCGCCCCTTCAAGCCGTTGTTCATCTGTCTTTTCACTTCCAGGTTACTTGAGGTGGGCCTTCTTTTGGTTGCGTGTCACTCTTTACTGCCACTCTTTAATTTTATAGTGCTTGTCTTTTTGAGAAGGGAAGGGAGAACACACAATAGTATAAGCTAATATAAGTATGACAAATGACGCACTCACACTACACTCCCTGAGAACCAGAACAATCAGACTACTATATATAAGTACTGTGAGTGAGTGAACTCAGGTGCTTACCATGATCGACTCTCTTGCCTGAAAAGTCCTGATTACGTCTCCCAACTCTGAGGAAGAGCCCACAAACACATGCCCCTTATGCGTGTGTCTGCTATTGGAAACAAACAATCTAAACCTGCTTTCCAACAAACATCCCACATGTCCACGCAACTCCCACATTGGCTCTCTCGCAAAATGGTCGTCAAGGATCCATAAATATCTCGTTCAATCCATTCCTTGGCCTCCCGTGCTCAGAGCTTTTGCGTCTCTTTGTCTCAGAGTCACCTGACCGATCGATCGACTGAGTCACCTGGGGGCGGCGCTTGGGACGGAAAAAGGCACCCCCATCGATCACCGCATTCTCTTCGTGTTACAATGGTTATCCACGGCAGTTGGCAAAATGAGGCACTGGAATTGATGGATCATACAGCACATACATTAATGAGTGCTCTTGCGGAAACGCTTGGCACACAAGGAGCATGTCATGCACTAGGATTCGATCCAGTCAGTCCTCTGCTCTCCACCTCAGTCACGTTTCCAACTCCCATTTCACACCTCTGCAGCGTCTGTCCAGGGACCGGTCTCCGGACGATCCATGACTTCAGCTTCACTAAAAGCTGCAAAGCTAGTTGCCACTGTGTTGCCTCTTCTAAGGCAGAAATGGCACCTCCATAGGTGATGACTGTTGGTGGCAAATCCTTGGGGAGGCTTTTCATGGACAGGCACCAGTCGCACTGGCCCAATGGAAAATGATAACATGCGATGCCATGTTCATGTTTATTGGAATGACACAGAGCATAAACACGGCCGTTTTGCTCCGTTTTGTTGATGTCCGTTTGGGGCTCCTCCTTCTCTTGTTGTTTCATAAGCTCCAATGCTTCTCGCCACTTCATCTCCTTGGTGCAAGCGCTGCTGGCGGCTGTGTAGGTGATCAAATTCGGTGCATGGTGTCGTCGGGTCAGCTCCAGCAAGGACAAAGCCTGTCGCCAGCAAATGCACGCCGCACAAGCACTCACAGTGGCATTGAAGACCACTAGGTCTGGCTGTAGTCCTTAGAGCTTGGGAAAGTGAGTTGCAAAAATCCAACGACTCTATACCTTGTTCGCCTGTTCGCTGTACTTTTTGTGCTGTTCTCTAATCGGGTTTGTTTTGCCCTCCAATACGAACCTCCCCCCTTCAGCTGCAGTTTCACCGGGCATCTCAAGCATGGAAGCTCCATCAGTAGGTGCAAGGCTCGTGGCCAGTTCCCATCCTTTTCTAAGGCGCCGATGACTGCACCTTGGGTGAACTGTGGTGTAGGAAACCCGAGACATGTGACACCAGAAACCATGCTGTTTAGGACGGTGTTTCGTTTCTGTTCACTTCCGCACCAGTCGGCTCAGAATGGGAGCGTAAGGCAAGGGACTGTAGGAAATGACATCAGCCATCTCCTTCATATCCCGGAGCAACTCAAGAGCTACCTGGGTCGTGCCAGAATGTGGATGAAGGCATGTTGGAGGAACTGACCCACTCATTTCAGACCTGGGACCTTCCAGCCGTACCAGCCGTTGGTTCTAAGGACTGACTAGACATCTGACATCTGGATCGATGGATGATGGAAAGTCATGTTCAATCACGGGAAGGCAGTCGGTCTTAACTTCAAAGTTGCCTGCCACTCGCCTCCCTTCTCACAGGCACTGATGGTTGCATTGTACACCACACCATCCGCCTGCAGGGAAGTGGTGTGCAGCTCACATAGCAAGGCGCATCCAAGATCCCAGCGGCTGTAGCTTTCACACGCACTGATGGAAGCAGCATATGTTATCAAATCCTAGGTATGTTGAGGAAATGGTGTGGCAGTGGAACCAGAGGCTAGGAAAAGCATGGAAAAACATCAAGGCAAGCCAGGCTAATTGTTGGGGTGTAAACGTGGTGTTTAAAGAAAGCAAGAACCAATCGAGCCCCGAATCCGGTTGCAAGGATTCCTCTTGCATTCTTGCCAGAATCAAGAGGCCTTGCTGCCATTCTTCCCGACATGCACTGATCACAGCGTTGAAAGTGATAAGGTTTGGCTTCAAGCTCCTTGTGCTCATCTCCTCCAACAAACATAAGGCTTCCTCAGCAAATCCAGGACTTTTTTTTGCATCTCGAAACATCTCAAATCTAGGATTGACAATTCTGGAGTCCTTCATAGGCCTTCCACACTGGCGAATCCAACCAGCAGGGCAGGGAGTACACACTCCTCCCGGAGCCCGCAGACTTCCGGGCAAAAAAGACAGATCGGCTCCAGCTTCGGGTCTTTGACAAGTCTTTGACATCTTGGGACAAGCATGGGCAAAGCAAGAATTCGTTCGCTGAGACTGAGACCATTTGAGACATCCCTCTTCCAAAGGTTCACGACCAAGGCTCCTGCCATCGTTGAACCTTTTCAAGCGCGCTGATCGTGGCACTGTATGTGTACACGTCTGCCTTGACCGCAGACGTGACAGTCCGGCGCAGCAATTCCAATGCCACTTGCCATGCAGTGCTCTTCTCGCAAACGCTGATGCCTCACATGGATTTGCTTTCTCCGACATGTTAAATTCCCTGCATGAGGGGATTTCACATGTCCAGCAAGGAAAAAGCAGGTTCATTTTGAGGAATTCCCTGGCCAACCTGACTGATGGTCCGGGGCTGAAGGTTTGGCGTTCATCTTGCGCTACATCTGCTCATAAATACGCCAGGGCCAGCTGGGTTTTCGTATGTCAGTGGACCAGGCTTCAGAAATCTATATGACTAGCTGACTAGAAGCTACTATTAACAAGGGCATCGCCACTAGTAACAAGGGCATTACTGCTAGTAGGTAGAAGCTAGTAGTAATGACTAGCTGACTAGCAAATGAATGTCTCAAATCACTCGGCGTCGAGCGACACGCACTGCATGTGATAACTGTGGGCTGCAACCGCCTCAATCTAATCTCCCTCAGAAACTGCAACGCCCGTTGCCAGTCAGCAGCTTTCTCACAACCGGAGATAGCAGCATTGAATGAAACGACATCCTCAGCTGCTGTGTTCAGAGGTGACAATTGGCGTGAGGCTACATGTCCAGGCTGCACAGGCGTAGCAAAAAGGAATTTGAATCCACACCTTGTTGATCAACATTGTATGTACAAAAGGATGCAAACATGATGAGTATCTTGATGCGCGTCATGTTTAAGGACAAACGCCGCTTCACGGTCAAAACCAAATCTGAGGATCTGCTTCGATCTCAAAAAGATCAATTCTCACGAGGACATCCAGGGCGGATCTCCATTGCCGGCCCTTTTGCAGTGCACTGATGGCGCGGTTGAAGTGAACCAAAGAGGCTTCAATTGACTTGGCCTTAGTCGTCTTCTTCAAAATCGCCCCACAACAAATGAAGGGCTTTGAGTCTGGGTTTTTCCATGTTCTCCACTTGAGCAGTCGCTGGGCATACCGCGACACTCGACTTCCTCGGATGACACTCACTACACTGTCCCTGCAAAAGGGGTGAAGGGTAGCATACGAGGCAAGGTAGATGTCCTTCCCGGGAAAGAAAATTGCCCAGCCGGCAAAGCATCTTAGACAGTACAGTGACATCACTTCCGACATGACATTCATCACTTCTTGTTCTGACAAAAACATCGCTCTCCGTCTGAACATGCTTTGACTCACTCCCCTAGGCCCTCGACTCACTCGATTCCGACGCTTTCAACTCTCCAAGACACGGACAGATCTTTCAATACGTCCCCTCCATCGCCTCCTAGAGCCGAACACGCGGCTCGGTGGGTCGTTCGATGGAGTTATGCTCACGGCAGGTAGAAGGTGTAGCTGAGACACAACTCCAATTCAAGTCTCTTGAATGCTGAATCTACATCCAAATTCTCCCAAGCCATCCTGTACTGGCCAAAACTCTACCCTGCAAAGCAGGCTACTTTGCAGCATACCCATGCTTTAAGGAAACTTCGAGAATGACTCGGACAAACAAATGGCCTCCTTTTGCGCCTGAAAATAGTCATCCTTATACATCATCACCCCTATCCCTTTGTATATATGCTCCCTACAGTTCGCCACATACCAATTACTTTTGGAACATCACCTCTCCTGCGCTTGATCTTCTCATTGCTCTGTCAGTCGCTTTCTTTCTGACATGGCGCAGTCAATTACAGGATTCAACGAAGCTGAGGGCTTCCTTGAGTCAACAAAAAGCTTCGGATGAATGCCACGGAGACCAAAGTATCACGAGTGTTCGGCACTTGGTGGATCGGAAGCTGCCAAACGAAGCCCATTTTGCAATCTGAGTCCGTCCCAGGATTGCACTTCATGTTGGAGGAAGAGCAGGACCACAGAACTCATAAAGTGTTTGATGCCTCAACAACAGATATCTTTATTCCAATGCGATTTGACGTAGATTCACTTCAAGTTCCAAACGCTCTCCTCAAAAGCGATCAAGACTGGTTCGACCTCCGACCACTCCGTGGGTTCGGGGCTGGCTTTGGTCGGCTGGGAGGCCTGGCTTTGCTACCTTTTGTCCCCCCAATTCGCTCCGTTCGCGAAGGTTATGAATCATGAAGTAGTCGTGGAGGTCGTCAGGCTCTTATTTTTAGAGGGTTGAGAGCCGCGGAGGTTACCCGGGGACAAAGGGCTTGCTTCGGACTGCCGGTGGACTGAATGGAATCTTTGGAGATTTTGTTGCTTTGAAGAGTACTGCTGATTCTCTGGACAAAATCACACCATAAACACACCATTTATGGTCGTCATTTCTCAGTCAGGCCCGCAGTATGGACCCACACATGCGAGTCTCCAACGAAATCTAATGTTGACTCATGACTCATGACTGATAAACTTCCCCAATAGATGTTGGATATCCGGTAGATATTAAAAAGCAACAACATGCCCAACAGTTGGGCTATTTTTGGAGGTTTCTTCCCTGTTCCAGTCAAACAAACCGGGACAGGCCGTGTTCGCCTTCGGGAGGTCCCAACTTCTCGCCGTCCAGGATATGGGCCGCAGCCTCGGAGACCGAATCGACGGATGGAACGTGGACCCAATTCGTTTCTCCAAATGGGTGAGAGTTCGGCGGGGTGGGGGTGATCCTGCGTCTTGTTCTAACATCCATCGGGCTTGCTGTTGGAGCGTGAAGATGGTAAGAGGGCATGGAACAGCATCCAGAACCACACGAGGATTACACTCTATGTCGTGCGAAGAAAATGTAATTGCACGTCAAAAGAGGGTTTTGCAGGGAATTTGATGGAACGTGGAGGTGCCGAAGCACCTGGTTCAGGCTCCTGAGCCCTTCCAGCAAAGTAAGGAAGTGCTCAAAGTTGCCTTTAGAGCGGGTGACAACCTTTAGAGCGTGTGTCTTCTATGGTAAAAAAAGCGTGTTGCGTTCTCTTCGCTTATCATCCTCACTTTGTTTGTAGTTTCCACATCCCCTTAAATATTCTGTGGCGAAGAAAAGGTGGAGCAGATCAATCATCCGTTGGCTTTCAGGAATCCTGAAGATTCAAGGAGTTGGAACAGAGTTGGACATCTGGACCACAAGATTGAAAGACTCCGGTGGCAAAGTCAACCTCCGCCAAAGCATCCAAAACAGCGCGACAAGATGACTAGATCTTGATCTAAGAAGATCCGTGCAAGACAAAGTATACAAGCTTCATCAAGTTTCAGCTCATGCTAGCTACGGCAACACTTAACCTTACAACTAATCTTGTTTCTTTCCGCTGCGCACCAGTAGACATCTACGGTTTGAAGCTGGTCTCACTCCCTTACTCATACTCACTCCCACACTCACTCCCTTCTGCACTCACACCGAATGTGGACCCAAACCAAACAGGCTCCACCAGCGAATCGGGCCTTTTCTGCCAGCCCCGTCAGCTTCTGTGGACCCTTCGACATGATCCATGTCGACCCTGGCGCTCTGCGAGAACTCCTGGTGCAACCTCCTCATTCTGTCCTAAGTCTTACTTCTATATCCTCCGACATTGAAACTGAAGCTCAGGGTGACCCGTGAAGCCTTCAGCTCAGCACCTTCTTGATGCTTCACCGCCTGAGCAAAGTGCAACAACTCCACTGCCGAAGCGCTTTCACACTGCGTTGAATGCAATCAGTTGTAGAGCTTCCAAAGCTCATTCGAGTGCTGTTCCCCCAACCTCCACTGCGAGTCCAAGTCATAAATTGATAAACTCCCAACTCTTCAAGAAAGCGAGTAGGAACACGAGGACGCTACGATCGGGGCTCCTGGCATCGCTACGAACGGAGCGATCGGACCCTACGAACGGGGCTCCTGGCCTTATTACTAAAACAAGGACGCTCTTCAAGAAAGCGCCTGCCATCCAAGTCGCCAATGGTAAGTCGAAGTTGCCCGTGTGCGAGCTGCCACCCTCAATGAACCTTGGGCCGGGAGTTCGTGATCAAATAGATCAGGAGAACAGGGAACACCGGGAACACCTTTCTTTTATCCTTTATTTTGTAGCCCTTACCTTACCACGTAATTGATTAAGTAAGGAGAAGTAAGCAAACTAGTAACTGGACGCAGGATAGCTCATGCTTCTTCAAGGAAGCTCCCCCCGCCCTAAAGGCGGAATGATCATGGGTAGACAACTGTCTGTTTAAATTTGTAATTAACAAAAGCTTCGCCCTCATTGACCAAATGCCCGAGGGATATCAAGAAGGAACAGGGGACAACATTCACCGCTCGAAGAAGTCAAGCTTCTACCCCAGGGACGAATGCAAATGCATACAGGTAGACATGGTCCCAGCATATTCCAAAATATTCCAAAGTTGTGTTGAGTTTCCTTCATGGTTTGTGATGCATGAGGGATCTTCTGCATTACCGTAACTACCAAACATGCCATAACTAACTAATTAAGCAATGCAGCATGACCATGCGCTGAGGACCCCACTCAACCTGGGATGACTGCAAGTCAAACTGTGCTACTTGGGGAACTCTTCTTCGTTCCCCCTCTTTGTGGTCGAACCTGAGGGAAATCCCACTGAAACTGCCAAACTGTTTCCGCCCCGAAAAATGCTCCACCGGGTGTTCGGATGCGGGGCCTCAACACTAACTTGGACCATCTTCGAACAAACATGACGCGAACAAGATGACCCTCTTCGAACGGTCCCGACCTCTCCGAAAATGATGGTCCCAACAAACCCCGGCAGTGGATAATCTAGTGGTACATGTGGTCGAAAAAATCTTACCACAATGGAGCACTTGTATGCTTACCACGTGTGCCATGCACCTCGGGTCTGCGGTCTTCATAGGTCTTCTGTCAAGAAGCGGCACCAGGTTCAGGGAATCGGCCGAGGTCTCTGCAAAGATGCCACAGCTGGAGAAAAGGGATCTGCAGCTGTGGGTGGGAAAACCCGGTGCAGGATCACCCACACGACGTGGCCTTTGTTGGGAGCTACACCTGCAACATCTGTGGGGCTCAGTTTTGACATGGGTTCTATCTTTTTCAAGTAAAGCAGACATGCAAAAGCGGCGAACAGTTGTACTTCAACAAAGATCAAACTTATGTTTTGAAAGAGTTTGATTAATGGATGCTTTCGCAGTCGTTTTGCGCAAAACCTTGTGTTTTGAACATTTTGCTCGGTCCCCTCCATCCAGTCCCCTGCCCAAATGTGCACATCCTCCCTATTCTTAAACAATTGCAAAACACGGCTTAAACTACTTACTACTCTATAATATCAGCTTTGGGAATTTGCGGGTGTTTCTCGGCATTTCGCAGATGCTTACGCGATATTTGGGGTCACAGCAATAAACCCATGAAAATGCCGCAAGTGAAGGAAATCCTGAACCCCCCAGCCGCATATAGAGTGATCCCTTCCAAGTGGCCTCTTGCCATGTCTCGAGCAAACAGTCAAATGTATTTCCTTACTTCGAGCCGTATTCGCTTCTGCGCGTGAATTTATCAGTTCTCGAGCAACTCCCCCACAGGTCAATCAACTGCACCCGTACGTGGACATCGAAACGATCGAAGGGACCGTGTCCTCCACCCTAGTAGCTTCTTGCTACTAGTAGTAATGGCCTCCAACCTAATAGCCTAGTAGTGATGGCCTCCAACCTAATAGCGATGGCCTCCAACTAGTAGCTTCTTGCTACTAGTAGTAATGGCATCCAACCTAATAGCGATGGCCTCCAACTAGTAGCTTCTTGCTACTAGTAGTAATGGCCTCCAACCTAATAGCGATGGCCGCCAACTAGTAGCTTCTTGCTACTAGTAGAAATGGCCTCGAACCTAATAGCGATGGCCACCAACTAGTAGCTTCTTGCTACTAGTAGTAATGGCCTCCAACCTAATTGCGATGGCCTCCAACTAGTAGCTTCTTGCTACTAGTAG